CTGCGCTCACCCGACTGCCCGGCGACGGCGGCCACTGGACCCCACGGTGAGTGAGGCTTAGCCTGTGCGGGCTGAGACTCTGGGACTCCTCCGCTCGGTCTGTTCTTTTCTTGTTTTCTTCTTCCTTCCTTCCTTTCTACCGGGGAGGAAACCCAGGGCCCTCTCACTGAGCTGCATCCCTACCCGCTTTTTATGGTTTATTTTGAGACAGGGTCTTGCTACTTAGCCGAGTTGCCCAGACAGGACTTGAATTTACGATCCTCCTGGCTCAGCCTCCTGAGTGCTGGGATTAGAGACCTGTATCACGAAGCTTCTGGGGTGGCCTTGGCACCCTGTCACCCGCCGCTTCCGACTGCCCCTTGTCTCGTTCCCTTGCTGCCTCTCTCCTTGCAACACCAGTCAGTGTCTGACCTGTTTCCGCGTCTGTCTGTTCCCTCCGGTCCCCCCCACCTCCTCTTCAGGAGACGCCCTCCAGTCCCCCAAGGTGACATTGGACTCTGCCCCCGTGCAAGCCCAGCTGGACCGTGGGGACATGGGCCTGGCCTCCAGCTGGGGGGCTGCCAGCCCCACTGAGCTCGTGGAGGTTGCAGATGAAGATGGGGACTCAGACAGCAGCCCCGATGAAGCCTCATTTGTCACTGCAGAGGAAGATCCTGGAGCAGAGGACACAGCCCTGGAGAGAGACTCTGTCAGGTCCCAATCACTGCCCGGGGCAGAGCAGAGACCCATGCAGGTGGCCCTGGGGCCCACATGTGGCCCAGGGCCACCTGGTGAGGAGGCTGAGCTCAGCATCCGGCTGTGGGCCATGACTCTGTCCCGGTCTCGGGCCACCTTCTCCCCAGCCCTCCTGGATGCGGGCACAGCCCACAGCTGCCCCCAGGAGCCCCGCTTCCGCCCCCTGGCAGGTGACCAGCTGTCCTGTGGTGGTGACACAGCTGCCCTCTGGCTGACAGAGGACAAAGCCAATGCTGCGGAGGACGGGGACCACGTACTCACCAGTCAGCTCCCGCCGGCCCCTGCCTCACCTGGCCTACAGCTGCTGTGCAGGTTCCCAGCACCAGGTGACTGTCACTGCCCAGTCATTCCTTTCCCCTGGCCATCGTGTGGCCTCCGATGGCTGGAAGAAGCCCAGGCTGTGCCTGGTGAGTCCGTCTCAGGGCCTGGAGTCCCAGGAGCCCCCAGGGTCACCTTCTAGTCCACCCACTTACCAGCTTCCCAAGTGATCCTTCCTCCAGCTCCCTGACTCAGTTTCTCCTCTCAGACCCAGACTTTTCAAAGTACAGCCCGGAGCTAGCTGAGGCCCTGCGGACAGGCTGCATCCCTGACTGCCAGGCAGATGAGGATGCCCTGGCCCTGCAGTTCGAGCGGCCGAGTCCCTCAGAGAGGTGGCGGGAGGGTGTCGTGAAGTCCAGCTTCACATATCTGCTGCTGGACCCCAGGTGCCCCAGGTGGAAGGCCCAGGGAGGGAGCTACATCTGCATGTGTCCTGGGGAAGGGTTGGGTGTCTTGGGGAGCAGCCACCCTCCTCTGACTCTAGGGTGTGGGGCACTGGCTGTGGGTTCTGTGTTGCTGGGTTCTGTCCCTGGAGCCGACATCACTTTCTGAGTTGCCCCCCTCCAGGCAGACACAGGACCTGCCAGTCCAAGCCTTGTCACTGACGCCAGCCCAGTGTCTTCAGATATTTGTCCGTGCCATCTTCTATGTGGGCAAAGGGACGCGCTCCCGGCCAGACGCCCACCTCTGGGAGGCTCTTGGCTACCGTGGGCGGCCAAGAAGACAGGTGTGCAACGGGGGTCAGGGTTGAGGTGGGCCGGGGCAGCCAGGCTGTGGGAGGCGGAGGGAAAAGGGGCTCAGGAGTGACCTCTGACCCTGCCCTGCTCCCCAGGCCTCCCCCAAGGTGCGCCGGATCCTGGACATCTGGGACAGTGGCCGAGGCGTGGTCTCCCTGCATTGCTTCCAGCACGTGGTGGCCGTGGAGGCTTACACTCGGGAGGCCTGCCTTGTGGATGCCCTAGGTGGGTGCCTCCGCCTTCCCCTCTAGGGCTCTTTGTTCCCTCGCTAAATGAGCAGTTACTGAGCACCCACTGTGTGCTCACACGTGCATGCAGCGGGTTCCAATTGTTTATTCCCACTTGACGGGAAGTCAGGATGGCTTTGCTATCACCGACTCCTGCTGGGGAAGGGGTACCCCGAGGCTGGCCCTGTGAGCCCGTTTCTAATCTCTCCAGGAGTCCAGATGCTGACCAACCAGAAACAAGGGCACTGCTATGGGGTGGCGGTCAGTTGGCCCCCAGCCCGGAGGCGGCGCTTGGGGGTGCACCTGCTGCATCGCGCCCTGCTCGTCTTCCTGGCTGAGGGTCAGCGGGAGCTTCGGCCTGAGCACATCCAGGCGCGAGGCTGAGTGCTGGAGCTGGCCATCCAGTGCGGACAGACGTCACGGTGTCTGCTGTCCCCGTGCTGAGAGCACCACTCTGTGGCTACAGACGGCAGGATGCACGTGTGCATGTGTGTGCGTATGTCTGTGTGTGCATGTGTGTGTGTGTGTGTGTGTGTCAGGAGCACTGGGGCAGAGCCTCCTTTCAAACTAAGGTAGGGCTCTGTACACGTGGTACTACTGGTGAACTACTGAGCTCCCCATCATGGGAGGAAGCCAAGGGGCAAACCAGAAGGTGCTTTGGAATACTTTGGTGCTCTGGCAGTCTTTGGGGATTGTCTTTTTTCTTTTTTTTTTTTTAATGTTTTTGAGACAGGGTCTCGCTATATAGCCCAAACAGGCTTTGAACTCACTTTGGTCCTCCTGCCTCAGCCTCCAAGAGTGGTGGGATTATGGGTATGTACCTCCATTCCTGGCTTTCTGTGGATCGCCTTGTCACTTTCCCATTGCTGGGACAAAATACTTGGCACCCACAACTGAAAGGAAGAGAGGTTTATTTTGTTTGGGTACCAGGGATCGAACTCCGGTCCTTGTGCCACTGAGCTAAATCCCCAGCCCAAAAGACATTTATCTTGGTTCATGGGTGTAGTCGATGGTCAGCCACCTCCAAGGCAGAAACAGCAGGGCAGAAGGGCCTGGTGGAGGACAGCTGCTCACCTCATGTGTTCGGGAAACAAGAGGAAAAGAGAGGAATCAGGGACAAGAAGGAACCTCCCCATTTCCAGGTCACACCCCAGTGCCCTCCTCCAATGAGGACCCCCCTTCTAACCACACTTGCAGCCGTGAAGGCATCTGTGAGTGAACAGAGGAGCACAGCACTACGATTCCCGCCACACAGGATTTTGGGGGACATTTTAGATCTTACCCATAATACGGCCCAAATCCACTTCGGTGCTTTTGAGCCTGAGCTGTATAGCTCTGGCTGCCCTTGAGTCTCCTGCCTCAGCCTCAGAGTACTGGGATTATAGGAGTGCACCACTATACCCGGCTCCGAGTTCACTTTTATATCCTAGACACAGCGGACCCACAGATAGGCTGGCGAGGGTTTCCTTAGGTCCCAGCGGGGGTCTGCCCTTCTGTTTCTGGTACCGGGGATCAAACTCGAGATCTTGCACTTGGGAAGCAAGCAGTGAGCTGAATCCCTGGCCCAAGGGGTCTGCCTTTCTTAAGAGCCAGGTTCATGGCCTCCAGGCTGTAAGGCCCTGGGCCAGTCCCTTGTCTGCGCAGTTTCCACCTTCTGGGCATTCCCATAGGTGGCTGCAGGACAGTGGTTGGGCTCTGAACAGTGGTGCAGTGGTAGTGGAGGCCTGCTCTTCCAGCCCTGGGAGGATGAGGCAGGAGGGTCACAAGTTCAAATGCAGCCAGGCAACATAGTGCCTTAGTGCGATCTTGTCTCAGGAGAACCCAAACATGGCTGGGGTGTGTGGCTCAGTGCTGAAGCCCTGGCGTGTATTTGCGTTACAAGAAGAAAGGGAGGAAAAATGGCTCCAGAACTGGGCCTGGGCTCCATCACTTATAGCCAACTCTAGAAACTTCATCTTTTTTTGGGCGGAGCTACCCGGAATTGAACTCAGGACCTTGCCCTTGCATGGCAGGTCTGGCAGCACTGAGCTAAGTCTCCAGCCCTAAGCCCTACTTAATCTTTTGTTCTTCATTTTGATGTGCTGAAAACTAGATCCAGGTCCTCACCTGCTAAACATGGATTCTACCACTGAGTGAAATCACCGGCCTCTTTTGATGTTAAGAGACAAGGCCAGGCTAAATTACTCAGGCTGGGCTCAAACTCTCCTCCTGCCTCAGCCTCCCCAGTGTAGGGGTTAATAGGCATATGCCACTATGACCAGGCCGGCCTGGATGACTCTTTGCCCCACGGACTGTCCTTGTACATTTGGGGAGGTGCTGACCTGATGCCAGGAGCCTCTCCTTAACCCAGCACGTCAGGCCGAAGGACTGACCCAGGGCACAGTCCCGCCTGAAACCCTGCTTGGGAACGCAGGTGGGGTCAAGCCAGCGGGGAAAGGGAAATTTCGAAGGGAACGGGCCCCAGTGTGAAGTTCAGACACCCCAGTAACTGGGTGGGGCAAGGATGCAGCAGACGGGGGTGCCAGGCACTGTGCACGGGGCAGGGTAATACTGTGGATGCTGTTGTTGCAGCTCTAATCTCATGCAATGGCCATGAAGCCTCAACTCCACCTGTGACTGTTCCCTGCCAGGGACAGGGAGCTCAGCCCTTGACAGCCTGGGGACAGAGGTGACGGGGTGGGGGGCTTCGGGAAGCTGGCCCGCCCTCCACGTTCTCAAGGTCAGCCCTGGGGTGGGCACCCGCATCAGCCCAGCCTGGAGACAAAACAGGCGGGGGTGGGGGTGGGGGTAGGGGTGCTTAAGGCCCGGCTCTGGGGATTAGAGCACAGGCCGGGAGACTCCGATCGACACTATGGGGGTAGGTGCTTAAGGCCCGGCTCTGGGGATTAGAGCACAGGCCGGGAGACTCCGATCGACACTTATGTTTATTGAGTTACAGTTGGGATGTGCAGGTTCGGCGGCATCAGACCCTCCACCCTTGGGCAACAATAGCTCCTAGCGTCGAGGAGTAGGGCAGGGGTGCGGGTCTCGGGCAACGGGGCAGGACCTCCGAGGAGGGCCCCAGGACAAGCACAGGTGACACGGAAGACAGAGCGGCGGGGCTTCTGTACACGGTCTTTCTCCGTGGGCCCAGCTACAGGACCGCACGAAGCTGAGCTCGCAGGCCGGAAGCAGACCAGGCTCCTCCTGCGCATGCCCGACCCCACCGGCCTGAGGGGGGGGGTCTC